CCTTAAATCTGTTCTTCACTTCCACTGAGTATTCATAAGGGATTTGGTTTAGATTACACCTGAGTAGCCCAGTGGTTTTTCCTACTTTCTTCAGTTTAAGCTTGAATTTTGCTATGAGGAGCTAATGATCAGAGCCGCAGTCAGCTCCAGGTCTTGTTTTTGCTGACTGTATAGAGCTTCTCCATTTTTGGCTTATGCAGAGAATATAATCAATCTGATTTCGATATTGCCCATCTGGTGATTTCCATGTATAGACTCGCCTCTTGTGTTGTTGAAAAAGAGTGTTTGTGATGACCAGCTTGTTCTCTTGTTCTCTTAACCACTGAATTAGACAGTAGTTAAAACATAATGCGTAAGTCAGGAATAAAACTTGTTGTTGGAAGAGTTTTTGTGATGACCCGCTTGTTCTCTTGACAAAACACTATTAGCCTTTGCCCTGCTTCATTTTGAACTCCAAGGCCAAACTTCCCTGTTGTTCCTTTTATCTCTTGACTCCCTACTTTAGCATTCCAATCCCCTAGAATGAGAAGAACATCTTTCTTTGATGTCAGTTCTTGAAGGTGTTGTAAATTACTTTTCAAACTACAGCTCCCCCCCCCCAAAAAAAACCCCTTCAGGTATTCTTGGAGCTGCAGATGTAGAGTGGAGCAGGAAGGGAAGAACTGGGCACAGTTCAAATAGAATCGCAGTGCTGTTTAGGGGAGATTAACCCCATACCACCCAGCTGTTTCACAAAATAAATTAGCCTTATTAGGACTGAGCCCTTGGCAAGTCAGAGACAGGCCAGGTAGTCCCAAGCCATGAAACCCACAGAAATTTGCCACAAGCAAAACTTTGTTGCTCATGCAAGGCCCCATCCTGAACAAGAAAGCATAGTAGCTCTTCCTGGGGGTCCTAATGGCTAGCTGGGTGAGCACGGCCAGGCCAGGGCCTGAGATTAATTTGAGGCTAAAATGTTGCAAACTACATTTCTGATAATTCACTACAGGGGCAGCTTCACAGAAAATCAAAGCCTCCTGGTTCCAGTCTAACCTCCATCCCATGACGCTGCTATTGACCACATGGGGAAAATCACAAAGGCCAACTCAAAAGGTTTGGAGGAAATTTAAATCGGAAAAAGAGCCTCAAAGAGGGAAAAGCTTTACACTTCCATTCCTAGCATGAAGGTCTTGATCCAAATAAGCTCCTTTCTTCTGTGTCTGCTACTAACTTAAACATGGACACAAACACATGTGTTCATGTGAACTAGGATGTGGGGCTTGCATGAAAATTTCAGGTGAGGTCCTTCTCTAGCCGTTCAGTCACAAGCCACTTATGGCCAGTCTTCCTGAATCAGGCCACTTTTATCAAAGCCAACTGAAGAACTGGCAAAATGCCACCACTTCCAGCCTGAGAACAATGCTTATATAAGACCAAGTTCCAACTACAGTAAATGTCTGATTGGCCACCTTTTTTAATTAAGTCAACTGTTATAGGAGACATTTCCAGAAGCAAACTTCCTTCAGAGATTTGGTCTACTGCAAAATCAGCTGAAGTGAAGATATTAAATGATGCTATTTCAACATTTCTGTATGTAAATAACCTCAAACAATGCATCAGTGTTTTTCAAAGCATGCTACTGCCAAGTAAGAGATTATGCTGATGGGAGCTTTGGACTATACAGGGAACAAGGAAAAGAACTAGGTTTTATGATAATCATTGCTCATTGCATTGCACATTATGGCAGACCTTTAAAACTTGCTGTTGATTGCAGACCTATGTTTACTACATCTTTTCTTATGTTAAAACTGAAGTCTCATCAATTGTTTCTTGGACAGTACCGCACATTATACAGAGACCAGCCCAAGTTTACTACTGCAAGTACTCTTGGTAAAGGACTGCAGCTGATCATAAGTCCCACTTAAGTGACTCTGGATGCTATATATGCCTCAGGCACTTACACATTATAGATGCATGTGTGCACCTACTATATAATTAGGTTGAAACATTTCACTACCCATCCAAGTAGCTGAGGAGAGTTGGTAGGAGAGTTGGTAGGAGACCCTTGATATATCTTGCCGTTGATTTCACTTCCCTCTGGTCCGAATAGGCTCATTAGATGGACAATGGATGGGGGGGGTTAGTGAAAATTTTCAGGAGTCTCCTACCAACTCTCCTCGGATTGAAGAAGTGACTTGGATGAGTAGCGAAAGGTTTCAACCCAATAAGAAAGAAGTCCGCTCTCCTTGGATTGAAGAAGTGACTTGGATGAGTAGGGAAGGTTTCAACCCAATAAGAAAGAAGTCCAGTTGCCATGACTCAATTTGCAGATAACCTCACCTGGATGACTGAGTATCTTCACAGATATTCTGTAATAAAGTCATCTCTAACTACCAATATTCCTTAACATATCTTGTACATGTCATACATTTTAAAAAAAACAAACACCTACATACAAACATGAAGAATATAAACATGTGCATCCATCCTAAAAAGATAATTTATCCTGTGTATTTAGTCAGAAACATCTCCTGCATATCAACTGGATTTTAAGGGTATTTGCTCAGAATATGGTCCTGCTGATTCAAAGACAGGCTTCCTTCCACATAGAGTTCTTTTACCATGGAAGAAAGAAAGAAGCGCTGAAGGAAAATAACATAGAGTCACAGTCCTACATTATATCCAGAAAATGAAGAAACAAACTCTCCCCGCAGTCATGTTGCTCAGCAAATAAATGAAATGCTATGTGGGCAAATATTCTTTGTATTATCCTGGGGTTTCGGTGAAAGATATTTAGCCACATCCCTCTTTTCCCTTTTTAAACCTTTCTATTGCTGGTCCTCCTTTTTTGCTCCCAAAATTACCGACAGCGTTAATGGCAAAATATAATGGCTTTTCCCCCTTCTTAAGTTATCGGACGGTGTCAGGAATGCCATAGATGCAGCAAAGTCTGCTTCCTGTCTTTCTGGAATGAAAAGCTGGCTCACAAATACACACAAATGTTTATGATCTCCCATCCCACCCATGAACAGTTTTCGTCTGTTAACCGGAAAGGCTCCTTCATAAGAAACATCCTGGCTACAGCGAGCCTTACATGTGGAAGGCAAAAAAATGAAAAACGGATGGAGTCAACTGTCAACAAAGCTTCTTCTTTATGAAAGGCAGCAGGAATAGGACATGTCTTTTAAGCAATATCTCAGATCCATAACATTAACCAGAGCCTTGCCAGATGGTCACCTTCCCTCTGATACTGAGTTTTGGGAGGTCAAATCTCATCCTCTTCTTCCCACCCTCAAAAATCCTGAAAGGATGCACATTTTTTTAAAGGCATACATGCACACGCGTTTAAAAGCATCCTCTTTTAAAAAGGGGAAATGTGAAGATATTCATTAATCCTCAGTCAACTCTTCGGACAACAGGAAGCAACTGCCCTGTCACCCTTCTATCCGTTAATCTGTCTCCCTGGGAGCAAGAGAGAGAGAGAGAGAGAGTCCTGTACATGAGATTCTCATTCTGCATACCCAACCACATTCCTTTTGTGCAAGTATTGTGCATGCATATATACCCTAAGAACATTCTCCAGGAAACAACAGGCTCCAAAACAGTTTCCTATTAATTCGAGGTGCCACATCATTAGAAAGGGGCAGTCATGCCTAGTGCTATTCTGATTCTCAACTTTAAAAAAAAGCATAACCACCTCTGCAATAGCCACAGTGAAGATGCAAAAAGAGTTCAAGCCACATCACTGACTTTTTGGCTAGAATCAGGAGGAGGAGGAGGTATTAAGCCCTTACCTTCCGCAGCGGAAACAGTTTTCAGACAGCGATAGGTAAAGAAGCACCGGCAGGGCGCACAGCAAAAGAAGCTCCCGGGCTTCTAAGGCTCACAAGCCTCCTCCATAGAACTACACTCACTGCTTAGCTCCTCCCCGAAGCCAACGCTAAGTGAATACATATCCCTTATGTTTAAAATTGGCAGCCAGTGGAATGCATTGTCCTCAATTTATTCTAATATGCAGCCAATGGCTCGGCTGCAGCCAAAGGTGGGGTCAGCGAGCCTGAAGGGGATGCCTGTCATTCCCTAGGCACACGCTCAGGAAGCCACTCAGAAGAAAACCAAGACCTAAAAACCTCTGAAAATTCATGCAAGCTGCCAAAACTGTCTTGCTCCATGCCCTTTTTTGGTTATCCTTCACAGGGCCTCTGAAAGCAAATCCTCTGTCAGGAACAATCATAAGAAATGTTAATCTTTGAGAAAGAGCCTCTCTCTCCCGTTGAACACAAATGGAAGCTCTCCACCCCTCCCCACCCGCCTGTTTCTTTTAAAAAAAGAAGCATATTGGAAAACGTGGATGGGGGAGAGAATTGGTCCCTATATTTACTGAGGCATGCGTTTTGCAGAGGATGGGGAGATGGGGCAGATATCATTAAAATGCGAAGCCTTTGCCACAAACAAAATACAGTGACAGTGTCTTCTGGGAGTAAACACCAGCTGTTTGAAAAGTATTTCCTTTATCATTTTTTATTGGCTGGGATAAGAAAGCAGAGAGAAAAGTGCAAAAGATGAGCTCACAGACCTTGAGAGTGTATTACAAAGGGAACAAAAGGAATTTTACTTTATATTTGCAACTATTAAAATATCCATTCAAAAACAACAACAGCTAGACTTCTGGATTTTTCTTTCTTGACATACTGAGTTGTTAAGAGAGAGTTCTGTTGAGTTATAACATTCTTAATATCTGTTACAGTCCTTATCTGCCATATCTGTGTATCCCTTCAGAGTCTGGAAAAGTTATTTTCTTTTCCCCTTTGTTTTCTGGATTACAAAACCCTGAGGAGACATCCATGTTTCAGCCAACATGGCTAGTGGTCATGCTGGCTGAGGAAAACGGTGAAGTCCAAAAAAGAGGAACTTTTCTACAGTATCTATCTGTATCTGTCTATCCAATATTATGTCATCTTCTCTTTATTGTCAAAGGGCCGTACCTCAGGGAAAGGGCATGTGTTTCATACTTAAATGGCCCCAACTTCATTTCCTGGCAGGTCCAGTTAAGATATGGTAGGAAATAATAGGAAATGCCTTGCTGTTGTTAGAACAGGGTCTAGCTAGGCCAGGGGGGGTCTAACTCAACATGAGCCACCGGTATAATATTCATTCCGTCTTACAGTACTTGTGTGAGAAGGAACATAATCAAGGCTGTGTGTGTGGAAATCAGACTATGAGGCTTTACAGCACTGTTACTCTTAGAACTGCAAAGCCGGGAAAGACCCTATGCATCACTCAGTCCGGCCCCTGTCAAGGAGGCAAAGGGGGGAATCGAACCTGCCAACCTCTGGCTGTACAGCCAGAGGCCTAAACCACTGGGCTAATCAATAGTATATATAAATCAACAACAAACCCAGGGACTTGATTATTGAAAGTATCTCCTGTTTCCCCAAAAGTAGTAGCAGCCCTCTTACTGGGAGAATATGCTCTTTGACAATACAGAAATAAATTCTGTATGTGGCTTTGATATTTAAACTCTGAGGTGTTCAAAGATGGAAAGGGTGTGGTCCCTCATATGTGTTCCTGCTAGCTTTATTATTTTCACAGGGAATTTCGAGCTTCTAGTCTTCAGTATAAAAAGCTGTCCAGCTCACATAACATTTCTTGTATCATTTGCCTCATGCGGCATCTTCATCTGTCAAGTTAAGATTTCTCATCTGCTCTGGGGGCATCTTTTTTCCCACCCTCTCTTTTCTCCTCCTCCTGCCTTTATCTTTCTATACAGCCTCCCTTTCCTGTAACAGTCCCATTTGTCAAGGCAATGCCCTTCCCATTTTTAATGCTTTCCTGTAGGACTGCTTCTCTAGCACATTATTTCCTGAAAGCTTCATAAGCTGCTTATTTTTTGCCATATTTGGGCGGGAAGGAAAATTGGCAGATCCAAGTTAGATTGACAGTAGCCTTCATACGAAAGCATTACTGGCAAGTAACGGGAAGATCCTGTGCTGGTTTCTTGTTCCAGAAGGGTTGGTCATCAAAGAGGAAAATGATAGAAATTTTAACCTAGGACCCAAATGTTTGGAAGGCCTGAGACTCCGGGAAATATTCTGAACGAGGTGAAGTGTAAGCAATTTAGAATTTAACACAGTGGCCACTTGTGCGTTGCCCACACAAACAAGGAGGAAATAAATCAGTTTGTATTGCCAAAATGAGATTCACCAGCAGCACATGCCTCAACAATCAAACTTGCAAATTAAACCAGTGTTTGTTTGCCTTCCAACAATCACTCACAAAACAAAGCACACTAAATGCAAGGTATGAGGGTAAGGGAAATTATTTGCTATTAGAAACAGATGTCTTTTACCACTTGGGGGAGCACCTCTTCTAAAATCATGTTAATCTATCTTCTGTTTTGACATTGTTGCTGTCCAGGTACTCAGTTTTGATGAGGAACTTCAATGCCCTTTGCTCTTTCCCTTATGCTCCTTTCACATCCCACCTGACTGGGACGCTTTGCTCTCACAGTCCTTCAAGCCCTTTGCTCTCTCCATTATGCTCCTTTCACATCCCACCTGACTGGAATGAAAAAACTCTTCTGCTAGAAGATACAGGAAGTCCTTTGTTTTATAAAGCAGGACATAAAGCTCTCCTGATTGTAATGTTTTGGTTCATTCCTTGCCTGCAGGAGACGTCCTTGCCATTTTCATATTTCATCAAAAGCAATTCACTCATCACATCACTCAAACTTTAGTTTACTTCCATGCTAAACTGGCAGTCATGAATGAACCCTTGATACACAATGTTGTTTCACTTGGAAAACACACAGTCCCTCTCATAAGTGAATGCTTTCATCAAAATCATAGGTGTTTGCCTCACATTGTCAAGGCGAAAAGGGTAGACCTAGTGGCCTATGACGAACAAGGCCTAGAAAGGCCTGGAAAATGGTCATGAGGAAGACTAAGTATAGTATGATAAATCTGGTTATCGTGTCTAGGAAAGGGAGTCAAAAGTAAAATGGTGTGCTGCTACTATATAAACTTATTATGTGACCCATATTTAGAAGATGCTGCTTATATGTCGTGCTTTACAGAGTGCAAGTCTTTATTTAAAAGACTATCAAAGGGCAATCTTCTCTTAATTTCAAGGGTTGTCCAACATGAGTCTGGTTTCATGATACAGAACCGGCCACCTTCAGTTTCTGCTGAAAAAGTGAGTTACAGGCCACAAAATTTTAAAACCTTTTTGTCTTAAGGTGCCACAAAAGTCCTTTGTTGATTTTCCTGCGACACTCTCATTGGGCTTACTATGAACATTAAGAAAACAAGTGCTAATAACTGTTTACGTTATTAGTACATCCAGAAAATTCAGTTTCCATCCTGTGCCTCTCCAGCTGAAAGAGCCCAGGGTTGCAAAGTGTCCTCTTTTATACCAGGCAGTCCAGTCTATTTCATGTCATCAGTTCTGTTTGAAGGGTTGTCCAGTTAGTATTTACGGTAGGACCGCCATATCCGCTGGGGATTGGTTCCAAGCTCCCTTGTGGATATTAAAAACTGTGGATAATAGCAAACATTATTTAGATATCATGATAAAAGGGGGAAAAAAGCACAAAAAATATTTTCACATGCATTATCACTAGAGGGCACCAGACACCGTGCTATATATTCTTCACTGACAAGTATTCATAGCGCATCTCTAGCTCCCTCTAATGGCTGGTCCTGTAATACATGGTAAAATAGTTTTTTTTTCTGAATTTGTTTTCTTTTCCTATTTTTAATAATTTCAGAAAATGGAAAAGTGAATTAGTGGTTACTGATCCCATGGATAAGAGTGTCCAACTGGAATTTAAAGATTCAAGAACTGTAAGAAATTAGAGCAGAGGCTTTGAATTTGCCTATCAAAAGTCAGTACCTGTCTAACAGTAAACTGAACAAGCCCACAAGTTGCTCGTTATCATCTTCCTCAGTATGGGGTGGTAAGCATTGTGCTTCTATTCAAAATGTGCTACTTGTTTCTAAATGTGTGTTTATATATGTAAATGTTTGTTCACATTATATTCTCTCTTTTATTCATTTTTGAATTGTAGCGCATGTTATCATCTCTCTTAAGTCTTTTGTTGTTGTTGTTGTTTGTTTGTTTGTTTTAATACCATGCATTTCAACTTGTCTGGCGATGCATAAGCAGCTACCCTAATTTAAAATATGTGAAGTTTTGGTCACCTCTTTTTAAAGGAAACTGGAAAAGGTTTAAAAAGGGGTGGGGGTTGTTGTTAAAGTATCTGAAATGAGAAAGAAAGAGAGAAATAATTTTTGAGTTTTTTTTTTTAATGGGGGGAGAATATAACTCTAAAAGTGCTTATTAATAGCCTGTCAATATAGCTGCCCTCCCCTGAACTAATAAATATAGGTCTGGCAGTTCATCCTGCAGCTGGGCACTCGCGAGACTGAATGCTCCCACATATAAAGAAATTCTTTCCACATAGCAAACTAGATGTCAGGGAGAAAGTCCGGCTGGATTCCTTCTCTCTGACATGTACTTCCTTCTGCAGAATGAATATGTTGACTTGAGGAGCATTTCAGTAACGTGCCATTTCTTTTCCTTTTTTATATTTTATTTTTCTTGAACTACAACATAAACATAAACATAAAATACATAAATCGAAATATAAATCAACTGTGTTTCCCACCACCATAGTTGGGACCGCTTGCAGTAATCCTCTTCTTCCTCTATCTTTCTTCTTCTTCTTCCTTTATTGTCCTCTCCCCCAGAACTGCATTGATTCTTGATTTGGAGCTTTCCTTTTTTCCTCTTGTTAGCACACATTCAAGAAATCTGCCCCATATATCATAGAAATTATTCTTTTTCATCTCTCCTTTCTTAACCTTTAAGTTACAAGTTAACTTATCATTTATAGCAAAGTTCCATATTTCATTATACCATGCTTCCATTCGAAATTCAGACTTTGATTTC